GGGCTTTCAGCATCACACGCAGTATTATGGCCATGATGAAAAGAATGAATGCATTTGAGTTCTATGACAGGGTTAGCAGGGTTCACATTGGTTAGCATGGTTAGCATGGTTAGCAGGGTTTACTTTGGTTAGCAGGGTTTACATTGGTTAGATGGGTTAGCATGGTTATCAGGGTTTACATTGGTTAGCAGGGTTAGCATGGTTAGCAGGGTTTACATTGGTTGGCAGGGTTAGTATGGTTACTAGGGTTTACAATGGTTAGCAGGGTTAGCATGGTTTACATTGTTTAGCAGGGTTAGCATGGTTAGCAGGGTTTCCCTTGGTTAACAGGGTTTACATTGGTTAGCATGGTTAGCAGGGTTTACATTGGTTAGCATGGTTAGCAGGGTTTACATTGGTTAGCAGGGTTAGCATGGTTAGCAGGGTTTGCAATGGTTAGCAGGGTTTATATTGGTTAGCAGGGTTAGCAGGGTTTACCTTGGTTAGCAGGTTTTTTTTTTAAATTTATTTATTTGACAGGGACAGTACAATTAAACATTGCAACTAAACAGGTGGCCGATGTCCAGGTACATAAGGCTTGTAGCCATGGGCTAATTTACAGCCTTCGTCCCTGGTTAGGCTTTTAAAAGATGTTAGCATTAAGGGGGAGGGACAACACACAGATGCATAAGAAACAAGAGTTAAAACAAAAAAAGAAATGTAATGTAAAGCAGGGTTAGCAGGGTTTACATTGGCTAGCAGGGTTAGCATGGTTAGCAGGGCTTACATTGGTTAGCATGGTTAGCAGGGTTTATATTGGTTAGCCGGGTTAGCATGGTTAACAGGGTTTACATTGGTTAGCAGGGTTAGCATGGTTAGCAGGGTTTACATTGGTTAGCAGGGTTAGCATGGTTAGCGGGGTTTACATTGGTTAGCAGGGTTAGCAGGGTTTACATTGGTTGGCAGGGTTTACATTGGTTAGCAGGGTTAGCAGGGTTTACATTGGTTAGCAGGGTTAGCATGGTTAGCAGGGTTTACATTGGTTAGTAGGGTTAGTATGGTTAGCAGGGTTAACATTGGTTAGCCGGGTTAGCAGGGTTTACATTGGTTAGCAGGGTTTACATTGGTTAGCATGGTTAGCAGGGTTTACATTGGTTAGCATGGTTAGCAGGGTTTACATTGGTTAGCATGGTTTACATTGGTTAGCAGGGTTAGCATGGTTAGCAGGGTTAGCATGGTTAGCATGGTTTACATTGGCTAGCAGGGTTAGCATGGTTAGCAGGGTTTACATTGGTTAGCAGGGTTAGCAGGGTTTACATTGTGTAGCAGGGTTAGCATGGCTAGCAGGGTTTACATTGGTTAGCAGGGTTAGCATGGCTAGCAGGGTTTACATTGGTTAGCAGGGTTAGCATGGTTAGCAGGGTTTACATTGGTTAGCATGGTTAGCAGGGTTAGCAGGGTTTACATTGGTTAGCATGGTTTACATTGGTTAGCAGGGTTAGCATGGTTAGCATGGTTAGCAGGGTTTATATTGGTTAGCAGGGTTAGCATGGTCTGTTGCTGGGGTCACTGTGCTGGCTCTCTAAAACAGGTTATGTCTGTGCTCCCAGGAGAGTTTCTGTTCAGAAACTGAAATGAAATTGTGTAACAACCGACATCCTTTTCTCAGATTTGTAATATCCTGTTTAGCAATACCTCATTTCCCAATAACAAAATCAAACATATGGCACCTAAACCGGTGTGAAGGTGTGTGACCCCCCCTCATATAGAGGAGATTCCAGCTGAATCCCACAGGCCCCATTAGCCTGAATTCATCTGGAGAAGTGGAGCAGCCAGTGAACGTGTGTGTGTGTGTGTGTGTGTGTGTGTGTGTGTGTGTGTGTGTGTGTTTCAGATGGATCCAACCCATACACCCTGAAGCTGTGTTTCTCCACCTCCTCCCATGTGTGAATGCAGACACACAGCCAGCCCAGGGACTGATCCATCCATCCATTATCAATACCGCTTATTCCCTCATGGGGTCGCGGGGGGAACTGGAGCCTATCCCAGTGGTCAACGGGCGAGAGGCGGGGTCACCCTGGACAGTCCCCAGTCCATCACAGGGACACACAGAGACACACAAGGACCAACAACCACTCACACTCACATTCACTCCTAAGGGCAATTTCCCCAATCTCCAATCAACCTAACATGCAGGTTTTTGGACTGTGGGAGGAAGCCGGAGAACCCGGAGAGAACCCACAGACACAGGAGAACATGCAGACTCCACCCAGAAAGGTCCTGGTTCCCCCGGGACTCCAACCCAGAACCCTCTGGTCCTGGTTCCCCCGGGACTCCAACCCAGAACCCTCTGGTCCTGGTTCCCCCGGGACTCCAACCCAGAACCCTTTGGCAGAAAGGTCCTGGTTCCCCCGGGACTCCAACCCAGAACCCTCTTGCAGGGAGGCGACAGTGCTAACCAGCACACAGCCAACCCAGGGACTGATCCCCAGACCCAGAGCCCTGCTTCAGACTGGACACCTGGAGGTCCACCTGGCTGGGGTTTGGTTTTCCAGCAGGTGGAGGGCAGTACTGATCTCAGCCCACGTTCTCGTATGGACTAGGCCCTAACCCTGGTCCAGGTCCAGGGCCCTACCCATGACCAGGGCCTAACCCTGGACCTGGACCTGGCTTTCATGCTGCTCAGCTTTCATGAGCTCTGCTGCTTTTGGGACCTCTGTCATGTTTGAAGCTGCCTCTCTGCTCAGGATGTTGGTTTCAGGACTTCTTTTCTTGTGTGGGAGTGAGACTCCTGCTAGCTTCATAAAGATAAAGAAAGACTGATCTCACAGTAGAGATGTAGAGTTTTCTTGACTTTGTTCTTCTCTCTCCATCTCGATCAGCAGTATATTTTCTTAATCCATCAATCAATAAAGATAGCGGCAAACATTACTGAGGTTTCCTTTGAGTTGAAGTGTATTTATTTTTCTTCGTGTGAAATAATTTTCAATACATCGTAGCAGCAACCAACGTACACCGTGCCGCGTTCACTTAACAACCGAACTCAGAGAAAAAATCAATTTCCTGTAGCGTCCATATGTGTCATAATAAAGTGCTTGATA